GTATGTTAATAAATAAAGTTGCCCGGGGGTCAGAGCTATTAGAGCCATAGACAGAGTGTGGCGGTGGTGGCACACGCCTTTAATCTCATAGATCTCTGTGTGTTCAGGGATACAGCCAGCATTGGAGACATATGCTTTTAAGACCTAGGGGGCTGTACATTCAGACAGTGACGAGGCAGTCATGTGTTTGGTTTTACAACCAATGAGAAGGCAGAACAACATATTATAAAAAAACGAGCAGACAGGAAGTAGCCCTCTTTCGGGAAGCTGGGACACCGCAGGCGGAAGGGTGAGATTTTAGCTCTGAGCTCTGACCTCTCAGCTTTCTCCTTTACATTGTTTCTGTGTTTCTTATCTAATAAGACGGTTAGTTACATCAATATTATACTGTACTGTACTGAAAACCTCACTGTAGAAAAATCAACTGACAGGTGTGTGTAAAACAGCTGGAGTAGAGTCATACCTTATTTTTGTGTTAAAAGCATGGTCACGTTTTCCTCTATCCGGAGAGCTAGATATTTCTAGATTGTACTGAGATGATTTCAGCACAATGAGAAGCACGTTTATGTCTATACCTAAACAACCAAAGGAATTTTAGAATTTTTCACCTTGTGACTATGATAAGAATAATCAGTGGTTTACTAGGGTTAAATTAATAGATTATCAGAACACCACTGATCAATGCTAAAACTCTGAATCTTTAAAATCTTAGTATAACAATAGTGTAGAAAGAGGGAAAGAAATATGAATCCATTCTCATTTCTTACATACTTTTTTAAATAATTAATGTAAATACTTTATTATAAAACTATTTTATAATTTTAAACTTTTATTTGAGAAATGTATTCACATCCACAATTAAGAAAGTCCTTTCCATGAGAGTGCATCCCATAAGAAATACACTCAAATCATGTTGGGGGAGAGGAGGGCTAGCATTTCCATCAGTCTGAACCGTCTCCTTGTTTGCTTAGTTCTTAAATATCTCTGTGTTCACATATGCTTGGCTAGTGATGGACGCCCTAAGTGGCAAATCTCAGCATCATCTTACAAGACAGGACAGACCAGAAAACGCCACAGGTTGGTTACATACACACATTGATCACGTCATCAAAAGCATAATCAAAAAGTAAAGTGGGCAACGGTGTTAAAATGTAAACAAGAATTGAGTATTAATCCCTTCCCTGAAAAGCAGAGATAAGAATCGCTTCCTGTTTTATTCAAACAAAGCCTAGTCATCAGGAAGGCAGGATGCTGGCTTGCAAAATGATGCAAACAGCTGTAGATGAAGGACTTTACTGAGCAACCATGTGCCCAAAGCTTTGAGTACTTGAGCTGACTTATTCATCACCCACAGCTTGACATCATCCCAAACTGCCTCTTAAGATTCAAAATAGTGTTCACCAGATGAGCTTGAGAGTTACTGAATCACACCCAGGAACAAAAGTCAATATTGTAAGAAAAAAGGTAAAACTCAGTTTTCTAAGAATTATCGCTAGAAACGCACTCCCACAAAAATGAAAGAAACAAAACCATCTCTAGCCAGTACACACTTGGGCAGAGAACATGGAGTCCTTGTGGAGGAGACTTGGAGCCTCCTGAGTGAAAATGCACATGCCCCAGGCACGCTGACTAATGACCCATTTATTCCTGGCTCACGTTTGGGTGTGGGCATTTGCAAAACTACCCTGTGATGGGGTCAGGAGAGTAAGATAAACTGAAAATTCCCTCCACGTTCAAGAAAATGGTTCTAGGGTATAACAGTTTCATTTGTAATTCTGAAGGAAAATGGGGTTTTAAAAAAAAGGTAAAGTCACAACTCAAAAATATTTTTCAGAAACGTCAAGCTGTTCAATTATTGTAACACACCAGTGAGTCAAAGTGCAAGCCATTATTATTACAGTACTGACAGCAAAAGGACTTGAGAGTTTAATTTCAATTTTAAAAATATTTTACTGATAAATAACTAGTTAATTTCAAAAGGGTGGTAGCTGTAAAATAAACATAATACCTATAAATCTATTTCTTCAAGGAAAAGTTGCTTGCCCTTGTTCTTAGTGAAATTAAACTATGATATCTCTGTTAGGTGCCACGGGCAGGAAACCTACACAGGATTCCAATCTACACCAGGCATGGCATTGTCTCTGCTTAACCATATTCTGAGAAATGTGTTTATGTTAAGGCTCGAAAGTAAATGGGGATACATTTTAAAAAATAGATTTTTTTAATGGAAAAGGGTCTCAAAAATTATTTAAAGAAGAAACAAAACTAAGTTTCCACCATGCAACTTTCCAAAGCCTCAGAATGGTAATAAAAAGCATTGCACTTTTCACAACAGAGTAAATGAAGACTTTTCCAAAAATGAAATCCTTGAGGGAAAAAAAAAAGAAAGTCACTTGTTCTTTACAAATAACCTGTCTTCTCCTGACCCTAGGGAGGAAGAATTTGTGCTATTTAATTCCAAGACTGTTGCCAGCCATGTGCCTCACTCACCTTTCCCATGAGGCACAGCGTGGAGCACAGAGAAGGAACTGCAGGGGACCCCCGAGGGTGGACCACGCCCGGTTAAGCACCTTTCATCCACTGCTCTCTGCTTTTTGTTTGTTTGTTTGTTTTTTGTGTTTTGTTTTTCAAGACAGGGTTTCTCTGTGTTGCTTTGGTGCCTTTCCTGGAACTCACTCTCTAGCCCAGGCTGGCCTAGAACTCACATAGATCTGCCTGCCTCTGCCTCCCGAGTGCTGGGATTAAAGACGTGAGCCACCACGTGCTCTCTGCTTTTAACGTGGAGCCCACACAACCTCATCTCCGTGTCAAATGTTCTCCAGTTTTAGGGAGCTCGGGCACACTGTTCCTGATGAACACAACCTGCGCTTTCTAGATCTTAAGGTGGTCTGGCGATGTCATAGTTTAGATACAGCTCACCAGCAAGGTTGAGCGGACAGAGATTCCATGGTGACTGGCTACAGAAAGCTACATGAACTCTAAATGGCTGAGTAATGGTTTGCAAACGTGTTACAGCTATTTACTCCCTGTCCCACACATTCCCTGCTCGACATTCCTGTTTCTTTATTCTTCATAGTTTTCTAATGAACAAATAAGTATTCCTGAGTAAGAATATAAAAAAGCTAACCTTCTACCAAAAGTATAAAGACAAATAAAACGTTGACTCACAATACAAACTTTTTTACAGAGCATCATTACAGGGGCCCTGCTGATGCCTGCGGCTCTCCGCGGTGATCGGCCCACTCCTTCACAGACTGCAGCGAGACTCAACTGTCTAAAATACTCCGAAGGACAGCAACTAGATGCTTCAGACCGTAAACATACCCCTCATCAACTGTGTTGCTAGGGAAGTCTATCATCCGCACTTCCACATCTGTGATCTCCTGGCGCCCTGTGGCAGGAAGGTGATAGAACACCTTTTCCAGTTGGGAGAGTACGTTTCCGTTTAAGTGTTCCTGGGACATGCTTTTCCACCCGTTGTCTTGCTCCAGAGTTTCCACTTTCAATGAAGTCTGACTGTGGTGCTTTTTTGAGTACAGCTTTCTGTGCCTGGCGTACACCTTGGATAAGCTTTTGCCTACTGATGTCCCATTGGCCGGGGAGCTGAACAGGTGAAAGTTGTTATTGCACTCCAGTACGTCTGCGTCCGACAGGTGGCCTTTGGAGAGAAACTTCCCCGCCAAAGTTCTATCGTTTGATTTTAGCTGGCTGAGATGAACCTTCGTAAAGTAACAGTAATGAGCTGGCGTAAAAGTTAAGCTGCTTCTGATTTTCAAACCATTGGAGAATCTTCTCAACCTTCTGAATACTGGCAGCAACTGCGTCTTTTCTTAGACAGAAGCCATTGTGGAAAAACTTGGAGACACCTTCCTTTAGCGTCTCTTTTGTTAAGCTTCTTCCATAGTGCTGGTTTCGTGTCTCATAGCTGTCAGAATGAACATCATAAACCCTCATGCCGAGCACCAGGAACCCGATCTCCTCCATCAGAGGTTACTTGCTGACCTGCTGCTGGATTTTCTCTGACGAGGCAAAGGGGTCATAGCTCTTCCGCCCTATCTTCATATCCATTATACAGGGCTTATTAAACTTATGAGTCACATCTTCCAGTTTTAGGTATACATCGTTTGGTGCGGTGGGAGGGGACCAGACGCCGTAGTACTTGGGCAAGTGTTTTCGCAGCTCCAGGAGATCAGCATCAGCACAGTCAGCAGTGTAAAACATGGTATAAAATTCCAGCTCTCTCGGGCCCCGGGGCGGCGGCTGTAGCTGTTTCAGAACTGTGCCATCTGGGTGTTGGAGTATGCCCACTTTGTCCTTGCCATACATGTGGCCAGCCACCTGATGCGACAGCGGCACGCAGCCTCCGAGCAGGCGCGGCACTGGCAGGCTGTCCCTGGTGCTCCCTGGCGGCTGCAGGCGCAACGCAGGGGGCTTGGCAGCCATCGGGGCGGCGACACTCGGCGTCAGGCGTCAGGAAGGACCGGGCGGCATCGCCTGCACAGGCCCAGCACGCGGACCCATACCGAGACCGCGCTGCCCGCTCCGCGACCCGCACTCTCACATACTTTTACATACATTAGAAATCAGTTTCTTAGATCCTCACAACTTAAGCACTCAAATCCTCATGCCTTTACAGTATACATTTACACACCTGAAATTACTTATTTAAGTTCTCACAATCTGAAAAATCTTAAAAGTTTTTCTTTTTTTGACCCAATTATTTAAGATGAGTCATAAGAGGTTGATTACTGAGACTCTCATTGCAAAGTAAGCTCCTTTAAATGAAGGAACAGTAAGGGGTTAAATTGAAATCTGTTTTGTGAGTTTATCACTTTCAGTGTGAAGCCTGTGAACAAGGTAAACTTCTTTGTTTGCCTTTTTCAGCAGGAGACCTAGAAGCTATGGGGGAAAAAATAATGACTGATTTTATATATGAAATAAACTGACTGGGGATCTGTAGCTGTTGGAGAGGAGCAGAGTGCTTGCTGCTGTTAAACAGATAAAGCTACAGCTAACAATTACCATCATCAGTTAACTGATAAGGATAAATTAGATTAGGAAGTATAATTCAAACACAAATTCAGTTAAAATGCAGAGACTTACCCACTAACTGGATGGGTTCCCAAGGCTCATAGAAGATTATGTTGTTGGCAGTGGGCATCAGTCTTCAGATGTCACACCACACAGCATTAGCCTTCTGCTGACAGACTGATGTCTGAGAAATTTTCCTGTGGAGGATAGAGTTTGGCAAAACTGACCTGTCTTGGCAAGGCAGTGTAGGGCAGTCAATTCAACAGTTACCACAGTTTGTGCAGGGCCCAGATGACAAGTGAGGCATGGGGGAATTTTGCCAATGTAATGTTACTATAATCAAGGTGGAGTCATCTGTGCCTCATCATCTTCTTTAGAGACCTTAGAGACAGCTCTAGGACAGACACATTGCTGTCTAACAAAGAAAGCTTTTTCATTAAACACGTAAATGTCATATTCAACAAATATTAGGGGAGCGTTAGTGCCAGGACCTATTATGTCTACCTGATTTTATACAAACTTTATTTATTTTTAGTTCCTTACTTCAGGGTTAGTCTTAAACACATATACAGAAGGCTAAATAAAGTTTGTTCTTGTAAGTGAATTACATTTTTATTTATCATGACCATGAACACATTAAAGAATTTGATCATTTAAATGTGACTGGCAATTAACTCTCATGTCTTAATTATCTTTATTAATTTAAAAAAATAGTAGCTTTAAAAAAGATTAGGATTTTACAGTTTTTTCCCCTGTTAAGTTTGGGCCTTACAATTTTGAATTGAAGATCAATTTTGCATCAAACTAAATCTCTAAACCATAGAGTTGTGATAGCAAAGAGACTAGATATATAACTTATAGTCAGTTTCCACCATCCTGAGTAGAAATTAAGAATTTATAAACCTTATACATCAACATATTTTATTCACCAAACATATGTTATTCCTCATTTAACATTTTCTAGAAGCCTAGTAATGAACAAAACAAAGAGGTTAGTGAGTAAACATGAAACTCTAAGACAGCTTTTGTTAATTGGAGGAGCCCTTCATAACATCAGGAATTTATAAGATTTATTCATCAAATATTCCTATTTCACCAAACATTTTGTTCCTTATCTAAAATTTTCTAGAATTTCAGTGTTGAACAGTTAACAAAGAAATGAATAGTTAGACATATATTAAATCAGTTTCTGTTAACCAGAGTATATCTTTACAATTGTGGGAATTTATCATCATATAAAAATTGATCTTAACCCAAATTATTTTGAGGCATGCTGTTGTTTCCTTAATCCAAAAAAGAGATGCAATAACTAGCAGAGGTCTCAGAAGGACTAGAAGGTTTTGTAACTATTGCTTTAGTTTCTTTATACCATATGGTCAGCATGGTTAATCAAGATGGTAGGGAAGGTAAATACTATGTATTCTTTTTAACCTTAGTAAAGATGGCTGCCAGCTACATGGTTAATTCCATCCTGATGAAGGCATAAAGTCAAGATGGTGAAGGCCACATGGTAGTTATTTTAAAACATCTGTTTTCCTAAATAAGAATTGAAATCAAACTGCATATATAGTATAAATAGAGGATTTATTTTTCTAAACAAGTGTTGAATCCAAGTTACATAAATGGGATGCTGTAGTAGATCTATTTTTAAAAACTAGAGTGGAGACACACATATAATATGATGTAGCAAATTAGGGTTACATATGTATAGAATTTCAAATTTTTATCTGTTTTAAGGTGCCATACTGATAAGAATTTTATAGATTTTAACCATACCTAATAAATTTAAAAATTCTGATATAAAGATTTCTTGAGATTAGAGAAAAATGAAATCAGAGACAAAAGGTTTTCAAGAATGAAAAGGAGAAAATCCTTAGTGATTGGGGACATTAGGAAATATAGAGAAGACAAAGGTATAAGAGATTTGAGGATCTTTTTTTGTGCAAGTTCAGAAGTTGTTCTTATATTAGAGAATTTGACAATCAAGTGGACATGGAGCTGTAGTGAGGCCAAGCCATTTGTAGTGTGATAATGAGGCTATAATGAAATCTCCATGTTTGAAAAAAACTGAGTCCCAGGAGGAAAAGAGGAAGAACCACAAAACAAACTCCATCAGAGTGAAGGTTCCACTAATCTCCAAGAGAACATTGAGAGACAGAGGAGAACAGGGTCATCATGAGGGACAAAGGTTGTAAGCAAGAATTCCCCTAGAGGGAGGGTTCCAATATCATGGAGGACCAAGAGTGGCTGTAGCTAGAGTTTTCCTGCCTTGCCCACAGTCAGGACAAATCTTTGTCACCCACCAGTCCCACAGCCACTCAGACCCAACCAAGTAAACACAGAGACTTATATTGCATACAAACTGTATGGCCGTGGCAGGCTTGTTGCTAACTGTTCTTATAGCTTAAATTAATCCATTTCCATAAATCTATACCTTGCCACGTGGCTGGTGGCTTACTGGCATCTTTACATGCTGCTGGTCATGGCGGTGGCTGGCAGTGTCTCTCTCTTCAGCCTTCCGCTTCCCAGAATTCTCCTCTCTCCTTGTCGCACCTACTTCTTGCCTGGCCACTGGCCAATCAGTGTTTTATTTATTGACCAATCAGAGCAATTTGACATACAGACCATCCCACAGCACTTCCCCTTTTCTTTTTTTTTAAAAGGAAGGTTTTAACTTTTACACATCTCCAAAGCCAGCTTGGTATATTTGGGAATTTGGGTGTAGCTTCTCTTACTACTTC